CATGCCTCTTCACACTTGTGCTATAAATATGGATCCGAGTCTGCCATATTGTTGCGCAGTCCTGCGCAGTTTCCCTCTTGCCTTGTGGGATCCGTCTCCTATCTTTCTGATTCAAGTATTTCAATCGACCCCTGCCACCCCATAGTGCTACTTGAGGCGTTATTACCCCTCCCTTGCGTCTGGGTGACTAATTCGAGGCTAAAGCTTCTGATTAAATCTCATGTTCAAGCATTTGCTACATGGACCACTTGTATGATGAAACAAGTCTACTGTCAGCTCCAGTCTTAGCTGAGTCTATCCTGATTCTATCTGTAATAGCAAGTCTATGACTTGCTATGCCCTAGTCTCTTGTGTGCCAACCCACAAATGTTGTGGTACTTCTAGCTTTGATTAGGTTCAATGTTGAACCACAACGTTTGTGGGTTGGCACAGATGGGGTGGCAAGGTTCGAGTGAAATACTTGAAGCAGAGAGATAGCAGACGGATACTACGGGGCAAGAGGAAGAGTGTGATAGGACCTAGGGAAGGAGGACTGCGCAATAATATGGCAGACTCTGATCCACATTCCCAGTGCAGGGGTGAAAGGGGATGGAAACGCCAGCGTGGAGTGTGGAGTTTCTCATTAAAACCGCTCTAAAGGGCATATCAAACTAAATCGAAATAAGCACGGTAAAAATTGTGACAGTGAATGTGTGATACGAGGATATAGGAGAGGTGAATAGCCCAGGACAGAGGGAGAGATATCACAACTGTTTAGCACACATTTGGTCAAAGGATATGCTTCACTTGTCTCTTTGTTGAGTTGTAATATGTACCACGTCGACGGTACGACTCTGGAAATTAGCATACATACAATGGACTCCGGACTAGGTGCGTTCCTCTAAGTCTTTCTACCAATGTGACCAGTTTGCGAAAACAATGTCAAACAGCTTCTAAACAACGAAAGGAGACTGCGACCACACAAAAGACCACACCATCTTGGTCTTCATATCTTCGAATATGTAACATTGTTTTATCCATTAAATTGGAAATGCTACTGATTTATATAAGAAGTAATATATCTTTTGTTTCGAACCTGCTGTATCTCAACTGCAAACATATTGGTCTTGCGAGCTCCAGCAAAATGTCTTTACAAAAGGTCACAGAAATTTTGACCTTATCCATGTCCCAGAAACCCATCCGGGGCCCGGTCTAGGATCTTCTGTGCAACCTCAGCCCACACGACAGTGCCGACCTCATGTATTCTCCAAGTTTGGTGGAAAACGGAAATGATGACAAATCAAAATTGATTGAAAGTAAAAAGAGCTAGCTAGAATCGGCATCACCGTAACCGCAATGTGCTATACGGTAGGACAAGCCTCTCTAAATTCATGCAAGGTTTATAAGAAATTTTGCTGCGATGTTCAACCGCATGTTATCTACTAAATTTGATATGCTACTGAGTTATGTATTCAATAATAGATTTGTTGTTTTGAACAACCTCTATGTAGTTTAACTCAGGATTGGTAGCTGAGTCTTTCCCACAATAATATGAGCTGGCCTCACGTTTTAGATTGATTTCAAATCCCCTTGCTTCCATAAAGGTATTCTTATCCAGAGTTGACTGAAGTTTCGACCTCAACTGAACTGATTTGATCAGCACCCCTAGCGAGACTCGAATCCACGTGGGACAATGTATACTCTCGATATGCCACACTTCCATGAGTGCTCCAGTATCACAGAGCATACATAAATTTTAACGAATTCTTAGCCTTTCTTATAGCACTTTCCACTTATAGCAAAGTTACCTTTGCTATTACAACCAACTACATACTTGAGCACATTAAAGAGTCCCGTTGGGGGGCTGATGAAACCAGATTCAGTCGAGCCTAAGTGAGAATACCTTTGGGAAAGCAAGGCTATGTGAAATTCTGTGTAAATGTGATGTCTACTCAAAATTTAGGAAAATTCAATCGCCACTTTTTCATCACCTTACAAGAAATAGTGAAAATATCCCATATTAATGTTACAAGTTTGATACATCAAGTGAATTAAGCAAACGACTTCATACCTAATAACAATACATATATAAAGCATGTAAGGATAAGTTCATGAGTTTCTTCGACTCGTTGGCTTAAGGTAATTGTCTGTCACGTGGAATGATAGACGTAGGCCAAATTTAATCTAACTTATTCAAACGAAAGTTGTTCTGACCAGAAAGTTCCAGTCAAACCTAAAGACATCTCTTAAATATAAAATCTCCGTCCTCCTCTGGTTTGGTCGATGTATGAAACTAGTAATCACACATTTTGGTCAGTCACTGACTTCATATAGAATTGCCTAATAAACTGCAGCTACACAAAACAATGGAGAGATGCGCCACATTTGCCCTATACTTTATGCCTCCAAAGGCGAGAGAATTTCCACACTGGCGGAGGTGAGCTGCAGACACACTTTACTTGCCAGTCTTCGAAAGGATAGAGGCATATTGTTAGCAGAAAGTTGTTTGCACAAACTATCTTTTTTTGCTAAATCATGCCTCTAGCAGGATTGCTCCACCACATCAGAGCGTTTATGATAAGGCCAAGTGTGACATCGAAAAATCTCATCCATTTTAGGAGCAACCTTTCTCCATTGTTAAAAATTGGTAGAAACGTTGGGCGATCATAAGTTAAGCTCTACTCATTCTTGCCATACACTTACCTGAATTGAGTGTATTGGGCTCATTAAAAGGAATATAATATATTATCCTACTGCTCTATTGTTTTTTCGAATTAAGTATTATTTTTCGTGACTACCATTGTTTCAGTGCCCCATTCAAGACTCGAAAAGACCGAAAATACACTGCATATAGATCAAAC